CTCGTGATGCAATTCTGCTGTTGGTTTGAGGTCACGACTATCTGGACTCATATGTATGATGCTGTTTGATTGCTGAAGTTCGCTATTGCTCATCTTCCTTGCAAATTGAACTGTTCTGTGTCTGACATCAGGCACGCGAGGCAGAGAGAGCAAGATTTCTAGATGCCCTGCGGTCCCTGCAGCAGCATGAAGGCCCGAAGCTGCTCGTTACTGATTCCCAGGCCATGGACATTGTTCATCCTTGGACACTGGACCGTTCAACAGGGAAGCCAATAATTGACATCACAACCTTCAGCATCGCCTTGATTCAGAGGCAGACTGATGGGAGACTTGGTCTTCTGGTTAAAGGGTTGGAAGCTTACAAATCGCTAAGGCCTGGAGACCGGGTTTTGGTGGCAGAAGCGTGCAATCACAACCGCATAACTGAACTCTGCAATGACATCGCCACTGTCCAGATACCACAGTAAGTTCTAGCAATATGGACCGTTTGTTTCAAAATGATTTTGGAGATCGTATACTCGAATTGTGACCATCCACTCGTTTACAAAAGATTTTGGTTTCACAATTACTAAGCCACTGGTTATTCAAAATCATGGTGATTCTGTTGAGTTTTCCTGTTTTACAATTGCTATATCATTTTCAATATTCAACAGTAAATTGTTTGACTAAAGTGATGAGACTGGAGAACAGGGCCTATATCCAGAAATATCTCTCAATCCTAATCAGAAGGAAGTTGAGTTGGACAGCCGTATGATAGGTGACTATCTCGTTTGGTTCGGAGAGGACTCGAGTAATCACCTGGTGGGTGTGAAAGTTTCACTCTATTGTACATCAGATGCTTTCCTCTGGTCTTTTATAGTTTCCTTTTCTTTTTTTTTTGTTGCTAAGCACAATACCTCTTGTACAGTTTTCAGTAGTTGTCGTTTGCAACTTTGCACCTACTGTGGGAACTCTACCGGTGAGTTAACGGATTGTGAGTAAGGTTGAACGACTCAAAACTTGAGAAGTTGAAAAGTAGAGACATGCGGTGCTCATCAAACTCTTTCATAATTCCTCCAGAGCTCGGAATTAAGCCCTGTCCAATTCCCCCCGAAAAACATCGATCAAGTAGATTCAATACCCTAATGACCTGGGTCATAATAAATTATGGATTGTGTTCTGTATGCTGGGTACACAGACAGTTGCAGCACACTAGTTGGTTGCAGGGAAACTTGCGCCTTCAGGCTCTTTCCAGAAAACAAGGACTGCGCTGTACTGTTGAGCCCAGGGCCGGGTGGTTGCGCCCTGGCGACACACAGCGTGAGGCCGACTCATCACCCAGCGGACACAGACGAGTGAGAAAGCAGCATTGTCATCACACAATCTTCGCGAGCCAATGAGAATGTGGCCAACCCTTGGAGCCTGGGAGGCTACCTATACGTGCCTAACCAAAAAGGGCCCAAGCCCTTAACTGTAGAGGTCGGCCTGGGCGCAGTGGCTGGAGCCCGACTGGAAGCTACTGGAAACTTCCCCTGCCAGGCCCAGGCAAACACACAATAGGGCTACACTTTCCATAAAGGAAAGAGGCCAGCCAGGGGCAGGCGATTCCGACACGCTGCTGCCTTGCTGCACAAGTGTCTGTATGGACGCTGCTGGTCGGACGCACGCACGGGCGCTGAGGTGAGGGGCGCTGCAAGGGCAGCAGGCGCACAACAGCCATAGCCAGGCTGTAGGGGTGCAAGGTAGGTGATGGCGAAGGTGGTCTTCGGGTAGGAGGCGCATGCTGTGGGGAGAAGAGGGGTGAGGACGAGACGAGAGAACGTACCTGGTGTATGCTGGTGATCGGCATTGGTGTTGTCGTCACGTGCATTGGTCTTCGGCTTCAGAGTGATCCAGTTGCGAGAACGTAGATAGGCTAGATAGGCTGAGTTGGATAGGCTGCGCTGGGCGCCAGACAGTAAGTGCGACTTTGGATACAGTGTTTGTTGCATACTGTAACGGTGCAGACCAGAACAAGAACCGACCTCTCAATACAAAGTACAAGATAGCGTAGCGGAAGACTTAGATACCAATGATCCGAACAATCAATATTGCAATGCAGCCCCGAACATTCATCATCATCATCATTCCATGGTGTGAAGGGGTCTGGCGCTCACACAGGAAGAATGCGCCAGCCCCAACCATACACAGACGAAGAAGAGGGGGGTTAGACGAAGAAGAGGGGAAGATGGGAATGTCGTCAACACCAAGTCTTCGGCACAGGCCCAAATAGTCCTTCATCAAAATGTCTGAATCCCAATGTCGAGTCTGGATCCAATGTCGTCAAGTCTCAAGTCACAACTCTCTCTCTCTGTCGTCAAGTCTCAAGTCACAACTCTCTCTCTCTCTCGCTGTCGATCGTCGGCTCGGGAAGTCGTCGCTCTTAGCTGGTGTATATGTTGCCAGCTTCGAGGCGTGAAAGACTGGATGGACCATCAGATGTGGGGGGATGTTGATCACAAATGAAGGGCCATCGGGCTCATCGCCCGCGGCTGATGTTACGGGCCATGGTCCAAACCACTTGGGAAGCAGTTTGCGTGAAACATCCTGTTCCAGTGCAAACTCTTCCGYGGAGACCCAAACCAGATCACGGGCGCGGATGGGGCATGGCACTCGACGCCTGTTGGCTCGCTGCTGCATGCGGACTTGAGCCTTTTGCATGTTCGCACGGGCTTTAGCCAACAATTCCCTGTACTTCCGGACGGAAGCGGGAGAGCAAGCGGCGTCGATGTCGGCTGGTCGTGGGAGGAGAAGGTCGGCGAAGATACGGCCTTTCCGTCCACCGTGGTGCAACTCGAATGGAGTCACGCCGATCGCSGGGTGCACCGAAGTGTTGTAGGCGAACTCGATGTCGGGGAGGCGGTCAACCCAATCTTTCTGGTCCGGACGGATGAGCGTACGAAGCATCATTTGAGCGGTTTGATGTGCCCGCTCCGTTTGCCTGTCCGTCTGTGGATGCCGAGCCGAACTTGCGACATTCGCATCCTCCCCAGATGTGTAGGAGGCCGCTAGCAAGGTGGCCGAATCTGGCGGAGTGAGAGGTGGAGTCGCCTCACCTCCCGCGGAAGTCAGTTTCCGGAGTTGATACGAGGTCGAACATCCTCCTTGCCTTGATCCGGGCATTGGGAGGTCTTGTGCTTGGTGTTGTTGCACCAATAGCAGCAGCCGTAGCGGCCGCGCCACTTGTATTCCGCCTCGGTCAAGTTAAACTTGACCCATGGTGCTGGCTGTCCGTTTCCGGCCGGCGATGCGGTTTTCGCCTTCCCGTTTCCTCGGGACTTGTTGTTGCTTTGCAGTTGGACAGCAGCCACCTGATCTCCCTCACGTGACGCTTGGTTGGTTGTCGGGTCTTCCACAATGTTGTCCGATTGGACTGCAGCGACATGCTGCGGCTGCGGACCAGTTTTCACCTTCTCCACATAGGTTGGCTGCCATGATGATTTCTCATGTGCAACTGCCCTATTGGTCTTAATGATCTCCCTTGCCTTGTCGATGATTTCAGTGAAGGTTGCATATTGCTCGCGATCACCAAGTGCAAGGCTCAAGGCGGCACATGACCGGTTGTAGAACTCTCGGCGCAGATGCGAAAATGGCAATTCTAGATCGGGCGTTGCCGCGATCTTTTGCCATTCCGTGAGCCAGTCGCGTGTTGCTGTGTTGCCTTGCGTCATTGCGAAGAGGCGGTTGATGGCGAGCGTCGGGGCGTCATCCACGATGAACCGCTTCTTCCATAGCCGTGTTAACTCTTCCCAAGAGATCTTGTCTTTCAGATCTGCGACGTCGACACCGTGGACGGTTGCCAAGTGGCTCAACCAGATCTGGCATCCGCCCTTTGAGTTGAGGAACAGCGTGCCTATGTCTCAACTTGGGAGTCGAGCCTCAGGCCCAATTACTCTTGCATCCTCTCCCTGCACGCTCTCTGTCTCAGTACTCTCTCTCTTTCCCTCTCTCTCTCTCTTTCTCTCTTTCAAAAGCAATCTGACCTCGGTCGGCAAGGCTGCCAACACTTCTCGCTTTTCGAGCTTCAAGCCTCAGCCTGCCCTGCCAACAGGTGGATTGCACACGAATTCGCGTTCGCCTTTCAATGAGCATATAGAATTCAGTCCTACTTGTGTTAGGGGTGGAGAATGGCCGTAATGCTGTAGCAGAACCCAATCCCGCAAGGATAATGATAAGAACGAGGAAAGAGAATTTTTCTCAGCTGGCTGCAGTTCTGATTGTTCAACGATTCACGAAACGAGTCAAGACTGATAACGAGGCGATCTCATCAGTCAATCCCCCAGCCTCGGAGCTTCTCGGCAAAAAGAAAAAAAAAGGGATAAAAAAAAGAAACAGATACCATCCATTACCCGTCGGTTCTCAGGCTCCTGTCCGTGAGTCGTCTCTTTTCCCTTTCAACTGCTAAGTTCGGCCGGTTCAGTTTGAACTTGACCGTTGTTCCTGGGGGATCGGATTGAGTCCGCTCGATTTCCTCTCCCTCTTCGGCGACGCAGTTCCCTCTGGTCTCTTCTTAAACGAGATCGGTCGCAGTGAGCGAAGGGCGCGTGAATTTTGCCTTTTCTCACTTGAGCACCTTCTCCACAAGGCCCTGATCCCGCTTTGCACGTGTATACCCGCCTTTGAAGTCGGTCACATATAATTCTTCTTACCTTAGAACAAACTCGTTCTCGTTCGAACAGCCTCTTCCTCCTACTTAGTCGCGCCGCCTTCCCTTTTGCGAAAACCCCGTCCGATGCTGTTCAWCAATCCCGAAATGAGTCAAGGCAGATGTTGTGGCGATCCCCAACAGTCAAAAGCTGGAACAATAACCATAATAATACAGTAATAATAATAATAATTTCAATAATTAGTGATAATTATTATTATTATTATTATCAGTATTATTGTGTTCCTCCTCTCCTCATTTACTTTCCCTCTCTGCGGTTCTCGTCCTTATGTCCTTCCGGTCTCCCTCGCCCTCTATTCTACTCATCCTCTCACTCAGTCGCACTCTCGCTCGCTCACACACCCACTCGCTTGCTCACTGACTTACTCTTCTGCTCATACTTACCTACTCACTCATTCACTCGCTCGCTCGTTCACTCGTACGCTCATTAGCTCATTTGCCCGTTTACTCACTCTTGCTTTCATCTCAGCAGCCGTGTTCGGCGATCCGTACCAGC